TATTTTGAGGGGTGCCTGGGTGGCTCAGTTGGTTAAACATCTGACTTCGGCTCAGGTCATGATCTCATGGCTCATGGGTTCGAGCCCTGCATCAGGCTTTGTACTGACAGCTCAGAGCCTGGAGCCTGCTTCAGATTCTGTGTCTCCCGCTCTTTCTTTCCCTCCCCCATTTGCACACACTCTCTCTCTCTCCCTCAAAAATAAACGTTAAAAAAAAAAGGCTTATTTATTTTGAGAGAGAGAAAGAGAGTGTACACTAGCGGGGGAGGGGCAGAGAGAAGGAGAGAGAATTCTGAGCAGGCTCCACACCATCAGCACAGAGTCCAATGTGGAGCTCAAACTCACAAACCATGAGATCATGACTTGAGCCAAGATCAAGAGTCGTACGCTTAACCGACTGTGCCATCGAGACACCCCCTCCAAAGTATTTTCATAACTTTCTGAATTATAAAATAAATCATCAAAAATCAAAATCATCTAGACTACTTACATTCATGGGGAAAATGTATTCTACAGATTTGCAAGACAGGTCAAAAGAATTTCTATAGCACTACCTGGGGCTTTTTTTTAATATGCAAATTTCAAACGTATAGAAATATAAAAAGAATTACTCTATGAACCAGATACACATAACCCATGATCCAGTTTTAACAACTATTAATACATGGTTAATTTTGTTTTATGTACATCCTGTACCAACTTCCACAGATTATTTACCTAGGCACTTTCTAAAATGAAAATTTAAAAGCTACCTGGCATAGTCATTTTAAATTAACGTAACAAATCCACTTTCCTCTATTAATCTAGTATTAACATGCAATAAACTGCCAATGGCAAAAAATACCTCATATAAATGAAATTTAATAATCTGATTGTAAGAAGTCAACTTAGGTGTCTGTTAACCTTTAATTTCTAAATTTTATACAATTTACATCCAAAGAAAATGTAAAACAACAGCGCATGTCAGAATAAGTTTTAGTGCCTACCTTGTACTTGTTTTCCTCTATTGTGATTACTTTTATTTTTTAAAGTTTATTTGAGTGGGAGAAAGTGTGAATGGGGGAGGGGAAGACAGTGAGGGGACAGCAAGACTGCCAAGCAGGCTCTGCATTTCCAGCATGGAGCCTCATGTGGGGCTTCAACTCATCAACTGTGAGATCATGTTCTGAGCCAAAGTTGGACGCTTAGCTGACTAAGTCATCCAGGCACCCCTGAGTAATTATTTTTAAAAGTTACCTTTAAAGAATTCTCCAGGATAGTCCGGAGGTGGTGATACCATAGGAGAATCCAGGTTGACAATAGATTTCATGACAATTTCTAAAGCGTTTCTTCCATACTGCAATAAAAAACAAAAGTCAACCAAGCAAGTCCAGCACTTGCTACACTTCAATCACATGACCAGCTGAATGCTATAAAAACTATTATGTATGGTACCAAAGATTAAAAAATGACAGGACTTTATATATATGTATATACATATATATGTGTGCGTGTGTGTATATATATATATGTGTATACATATATATATATATGCTAGTTCACACAATAGCAGAAAGCAGATGTCCAATAAATAACTTCCTTTAAATTCACATTTGATTCATTCACAAGTATTTATTATATTCCTATTTCCTAATAAGGATGAAAATACGATTATACTGCAGAGTTGATCACCAAAGGTCTGATATGGGAAAGTCTGTGTCTTACAGGATGCTATCATTTTACAGCAAAAACATAAGAGGAGGCGGTTTTAAGTTTTAAACAGTAACCACTTCCCCTTTTTGTTCACCAGAGAACTAGACACTACCACAAATTTTCAGAGATACTGAAAGCTGAAATGTACCTTATTATCAAAATTGAACCTGCTCAGATCTCTAGATTCTGTTGCTCTTCTGTCACCATGTGTAAGCGCTCCCTATCAAAACAGAAAGTTTCCAATCAAGGCACAGAAGACAGGTTAACATTCACCATCTCTTACACACAACTATACAACTTCAAAAACTTACCAAACTCTCAAGTCTTTTAGCAACAATAGAAGCAAATCTTTGCTCTCCTGCCAATTCAGAAATCAGAAACACATATTCGGGAGCAGTGACTTGGTTTGATCTATGAGTCCGTCCTGTAAAGACATTAAAAATACTGATGTGTTCCCTATACACAAAGTATTCTGAGATCGATTTCTAGCATTTTAACACTAAGCTGGTATCTGGAAACTTTTAAGAGAAAAACTGAAGAATGTAACATTTGGGGCACCTCGGTGGCTCAGTTGTTTAAGCTTCCAACTCAAGTCACGATCTCACGATTCATGAGATTGAGCCCCATGTCGGGCTCAGCACTGATACTGTAGAACCTTCCTGGAATTCTCACTCCCTCCCTCTCTGTCCCTCTCCGACTCATACAGTCTCTTTCTCAAAATAAGTAAATATTAAAAAAAAAAAGTAACAATTACTGTGACTCTCCAAAAGGCACAAAACAGAAAACACTCGCTTGAACAACATCCATATTCAGAGCACTACTCCCCCCTTCCAAAAGAACAGAAACTGCCACAGAACTGTCCAATGATAAACATATTATTACTGCTGCCCCACTTGGGGTTAACCACAATGTTTCTGAAGCAAAGTCACTCTGGGTTCTTCCAAAATTTTTATTTTTAAAAATTTTTTTTTTTTTAATGTTTATTTATTTTTTTGGGACAGAGAGAGACAGAGCATGAACGGGGGAGGGGCAGAGAGAGAGGGAGACACAGAATCAGAAACAGGCTCCAGGCTCTGAGCCAGCAGCCCAGAGCCCGACGCGGGGCTCGAACTCACGGACCGCGAGATCGTGACCTGGCTGAAGTCGGACGCTTAACCGACTGTGCCACCCAGGCGCCCCTTTATTTTTTAAATCATCAAGTCACAGGGACATGAATGTGTAGGGCAAGGGAGGAGTAATATGCCTTCAGTAAAGCCACTGAGGGCTGAAAAGGACATGAGGTGGCAGGTGCTCTGACAGAGACCACATACATCCTGAAGATCTATAATGAAGATATTCCCAAGGAACCTTATTCTTAGATATAATGCCAGAAACCCCCAAGAAATCCAACACAGTTCTTTTACATTTCTCACAACAGGTAAGAAATGAATTCACGTATTCTAGATTTTTAGGTATATGCAATACAAAATCCACTCCAAAATTACACATACGTCATGCTTTAAGATATCTGACATTAAATATAGGTTTTGATATGTCCACATTTCCCCAATGATCCCTAGCTATCTATTAAGTGATATTCAATGTAGGAACTTACCGAACTGCTGAATTGCTCTATCAGCACTCCAGGGTAATTCCAAAGTCATGTGAACCCGTCGCCTTTGATTTTTAGCTCTCCGATCTGCTTGTAATGAAATACCCGAGCTGGCAGCTTCTGAGATGATAGCAATATTCTGTGTTAAATGTAAGGGGGGAAAAAAATAATCACCTTTGCACAAAGACAAGTAGGCCCGTACCCTAAGTAAATTTCTTAAGAGTACTAGTGGTCCACCAATACCTATCCTCCCCTCCTTCTTCAATTATGGAACCCCAAATTAGGCAGGTACACGGCTGCCCAGAATCAAGATTGTATTTCTCACTTTGCAGTGCAGCTAATTGTGGGCATACTCCAGTAGGCTGTAGGTGATACGAACATCTAAGTAATGTCCTTCAAAGTCAAGAACGTGCCCTTCTTTTTTCTCCTCTCTGCTAGATGAAATGTAAAGGTATTATGACTGAATCTAAAATAGGTAACTTGAAAATGGAGGCCCACATATTAAAGGAATAAGACAGAAGAGGCATAGTCTTCAAGGAGCTTTAATGGCCCTGGTCTACATACTCAAACTTGTACATGGGAGAAATTACCTTCTACCTTGTTTAAATCAGTATGATTTTGGATTTTCTGTCATTTAACAGCTAAAACTAATTCCAACTAATACAACTCCCAATGCACATGGGCAAAAATTCATGAAACAAAGTACATAGCACAACTGGTAATACCTCTTCCTACAATCTTTAAAATATGTAGCACGAGCTTTTAAATATACTTATAAGGGGCACCTGGGTGGCTCAGTCAGTTCAGTTAGTTAAGCATCCGACTCTTGATATTGGTTCAGGTCATGATCTCATGGTTGTGAGACTGAGCCCCACGAAGGGCTCCATGCTGACAGCAGACAGCCTGCTTATGAGTCTCCTTCTCCGGCTCTCTTCCCCTCCCCTGTTCATGCGTGCTCTCCCTCAAAATAAATAAATTTTTAAATGTTTTTTTTTTTTTTTTTTAATTTTTTTTCAACGTTTATTTATTTTCTTTTGGGACAGAGAGAGACAGAGCATGAACGGGAGGGGCAGAGAGAGGGAGACACAGAATCGGAAACAGGCTCCAGGCTCTGAGCCATCAGCCCAGAGCCCGATGCGGGGCTCGAACTCACGAACCGCGAGATCGTGACCTGGCTGAAGTCGGACGCTTAACCGACTGCGCCACCCAGGCGCCCCAATAAATAAATTTTTAAAGTACATAAATGTATTTCCAGAAGACTTTGATAATGGTAACTATCCTCAATTATTTCATTTGCAAAGGCAGAAAAACTCACTGAAATATAAAGAAAAATGTGAGTAAAGATTTAAGATTTTATTCTACCTTTTAAATTAAGGAATTAAGTTTAAGTGGCACTCCTATTTTTTAGCAATCTCATCAGCAAATGCTTATGGTTAATTCCAACTAAATGGGGAAGAACTAGTCTGAGAATCTCAAAATTGACTGATGGTTACTTAACAGTAAGAGGCTATACAAAGAGCCTCTGGAGGCAACCAAGGTCTGTCTCCACAATGGTGAGGTATGCAAGCCAATCTAAATGTCATTCAGAAGAATCACCCTAATATGACACGGCACAGCAGTAAGAATCAGCAAAACCAAAGACCATCAGGAATCTGTGTGTGCTTAACTGTGTTTTTAGACTCAAAATTAGACTGACACTGGAGAGTAGCATTAGATGTGAAGTCATTAAGATGACCTGTGAGAACTCAGTATTTTCATATTCTGATTAAAAATGTAGAAAGTCTCCAAAGTTATTAAGATCCACATTTAATTTTGTGCACAATAGAAAATACTTACTACATCCAATTTGTGAGAAAATAATGAAAATGTAAAATGTGCAGTATGTGCAATTACTAAAAAATACAGAATAATAACAACATTCAACGCAATTTCTTTTATTTATTTTTAAAGTTTATTTATTTTGAGAGAGAGAGAAGTGGAGGGAGGGGGCAAAGACAGAGGGAAGAGAGAGAATCCCAAGAAAGTTCATCCTGGCAGCCCAACACGGGGCTCAATCCCACAACCCTCTGACGATGACCTGAGCTGACATTAAGAGTCAGAAGCTTAACCAACTGAACCACCCCCACAACATGTAGTTTCTTTTTTTTTTAATTTTTTTTTCAACGTTTTTATATTTATTTTTGGGACAGAGAGAGACAGAGCATGAACGGGCGAGGGGCAGAGAGAGAGGGAGACACAGAATCGGAAACAGGCTCCAGGCTCTGAGCCATCAGCCCAGAGCCCGACGCGGGGCTCGAACTCACGGACCGCGAGATCACGACCTGGCTGAAGTCGGACGCTTAACCGACTGCGCCACCCAGGCGCCCCATGTAGTTTCTTTTAAAAGAAAAAACAAAACCAAACAAAAACCCTAAACATTAATTTTAACATATGGGCATTGTTCTTTTCATTGAAAAGCATCCCAGAAAAACATACCTTATCTCCATCCATAAATCTTTGTTTTTCTGTAATATTTAGTATTTCCACAGGGACATCAAGTTCAGATCTTGACTCATAAGATATGCTTCCATCATCATTGCTTACAACCCTCCCTTTGCGGCCAGTCATCTGAAAAACCAAAGTGTCCTTACAATTAAGTTACCTGATTAAGACGCAGGACACCCAGGACTCCTTCATTAGAGAAACGTGGTGGGGGACAGAAGGGGATGATGAAGCCAGTATGTACTGTGCAGCCTGGGCCGCACAGGCACCCTGGGGGAGAGAACACTGCAATACAATCTCTGGTTTGGAGAAGTTCAGATTCCAGCAGAGAAAGCAGATGTGGGGCAATGATCACAAAGGCTGCATGACAGGTGCAGTAACAGATCAGTGTTGGGTAAACACCAGACACTAAGGATAAGAATTCACTGACTCTAGGAAGACAAATACAGAACAAGGTTCTAAGATCTAAGAGAAAATTAGACACATTATTATGATATCCAAAATAGCACTCATTCCTCAGCATTTTGGAAGTGGCCAAAAGGAACACAAAAAAAAGACCAAGGAGAGACACAGCCCTGATCGAGTCATATTCACCTCAGCAACATTCTCAGGGCCACCAAGTTCATCAATAAGTTCATCCAGGGTATTAGGAGGGAGGTCTTCAGCTAATTTTTCTAGTTTATCAAGTAGGTCTTTCTTCATCTGCTGGGCTCTTTCCACAGCATCCTGACTTGTTATAAGGCTACTGTTACTGTTGGTGTTACTGTTGGCTAGATAAGGCACATTTGGTAAGAAAAAAAAAAAATCAGTACAAAGTTTAAATATGTTTTGTTTAAAAAGTACATTTCAAGGACAAAGCAAGCTTCCTCTTAAGATACCTGGTGCACTGTTAGGAGCAGGCAAAATTACTGGCGTAGATGAAAAACTAGGTCGTTTTGATCCAAGACCTGATGCTAATAAGGCACTTTGAATAGAATCTGGATCTATACTTTTCTTTTTTTTTTTATCTTTGTTTTTCTTGTGATCTTTCCTGATTAACCAGGGATCTGAAAGTTAAGAAGAGATGTGTCAAATCATTTGTGAACGAAGCAGAATCTTCAAAGGCAGTAACACTTGAATTTTCTGTATTAACTGGTAACTTATAATTGTCACCAGCTACACTGGTCCAGTAATACATCCAACACACCATAAGGTACAATGCCAGAGTTTGAGGTTAAAAAGCACTACACAAAACGGAGGCCACCATCTCCCATAAATGAGATAAACTACCAAAAGACAAACAAGCTTGGGAGTTGTCCACCAAGCAAAGATGAGAATCTGTGCGATGATTTGTACTGCACAGGGGGCAAAAAAAAAAAAAAAAACAACATATATATATATATATATATCCCATTTCAGACACAGAGATAAGTATCCTTTAGTTTATATTTAACCGACACACTTACCGTCTTCGTCATCCTCACTAGACTCATCTCTGAACGGGTTGAAGTCATCATCGTCTCCGGAACTCATGTTTTTTGAGCTCTCATAGTCACTTTCTTCATGGTCAGACGCGTCAGATTCACTCCCACTGTCATCAGAACTGCTACCAGTAAGGCCACCTACTTTTCGTGCTTTTTTGGCTTCTCGGGTTATTTCTTCACCTACCGTCAAACCCCCAAACAAGACAGTCAGCCCAAACACACTATTCTAAATATCCAAAAAATTACATTTAACTCATGAGCTATTCAAATGAGAAACACAGAGGGGACGCCTAGGTGGCTCAGTCGGGTAAGCATCCAACTTCGGCTCAGGTCATGATCTCATGGTTCGTGAGTTTAAGCCCCACGTCAGACTCTATGCTGACAGCTCAGAGCCTGGAAACTGCTTCAGATTCTGTATCTCTCTCTGTGTGTGCCCCTCCCTCACTCACTCGTGCTCTGTCTCTCAAAAATGAATAAACATTAGAAAAAAAAGTTTTTAAATCACAGGAGAAAACAGAAGAAAAACATTTCCTTAAGTACATAAAATTCATAAGTGTTAACCTTTTAGACTCCCATAAGAAATCAGGTTAAGTTCAGTTATTAAGAAGAAATGAAACATGTCAATACATATCCAAGACTGCCTTTAAATATATGTTTCAAAACAAATTCAGGACAACAGACACAAAACAGAATCTCTGGCATTTTCACACAATCCAACTGCATATCAGGTTGAGAGAACAGACCTAATAATTATAGGTTTATAGAGTACTTAAAAAATAAAATACCTTAAAAAAATAACTTATGGAATACTTAAAAAAAATCTGTAACACACCATTTTAGAAATCAAACAAGGTGCTGATTTGAATTATTTTACTGAATATTCAGAAAAGAGATCTGGAACAAACCATTAAAAGTTCACATATTAATGATATATATGGTAAGAACATAACTCAGCAAAGGGAAACGACCACGCGACCATTTAAGAGGCCACTGATTCTAAAACACAGCATTACTTTTTGTGCCACTACCATAAAAAAATGTTCTCAATTATAATAACCAACCCACTTTCAAGCATATTAAAAATGTAGGGGCACTTGGGTGGCTCAGTCAGTTAAGTGTCTGACTCTTGATTTTGGCTCAGGTCATGATCCTAGAGTCGTGGGTTTGAGCCCTGCTTGGGATTCTCTCTCCACCCTCCCTGCCCTTCACCAGCTCACGTGCTTTCTCTTTCAAAATAAACTTAAAAAATGTGAAAAACATGTACTTACAACAGATAAAAAAAATTAAGGCTCAAGTATCAGCCACTGTGTTTAGAATACACAGCATCACAGACATTCCAATGGAAGTTATCACTGTCCTAGAGAAAGCCTGTGAAGTTAACTTTTGTTTCTTAATGTTTATTTTTGAGAGAGAGAGAAAGAGAGACAGAGCATGAGCAGGGGAGGGGCAGACAGAGGGAGACACAGAATCCAAAGCAGGCTCCAGGCTCTGAGCTGTCAGCAAAGAGCCCAATGCGGGGCTCGAATTCACGAATGGTAACATCATGACCTGAGCTGAAGTCAGATACTTAACCGACTAAGCCCCCTAGGTGCCCGAGAAGTTAACTTCTGAAAGCCAAACATCTTACTAAGCATCTAAACACAAGCTGAAGTTTGCATACTATAAAATGTCTAGTAAGCACAGAGTGTATTCTTAAAAATAATAAATTAACAAATGACTCTTTAAAGACTGTAAAAACACCATATGTGTGTATGCATATGCAGCTATAACAATAGCAAGGCCCAGATTTTGCTGTGTATTGCCCACTAGCTATGTGAACCTGGGAAGATTCCTTAACCTCTTAATCTTTCTGTGCCTTAGTGTCCTCTGTCTAGAAAACAAAAAGCAAGACCTATTTTCATATGGATCCCTTGTGGGTTAAATGAAACAATGTATGGCCAGTGCTTAATATAGTGCCTAGCACCAAATTGTTCAAGTCCTAATTTAAAACAGGGAGTTACTTGTGTGTTCAAAACTACATAGGCAACAGTGAAAATATACAACTACATGCCAATTTAAGGAAGGCAGCTCAATCCCAAAATATAGCTGCTTCAAAATGCTCAAATTTACACTATTTTCAACATCATTTAAAGAAAAAAAACCCACCTTTCCGCTTCTTCACTTTATTTTCTTTACAAGGACTATCTCTTGGTGAACTATTGTTACTTGGAGCTGTCAAATCAATTCCTAACAAACTATACAGTTTTTTTCGATCTGGAGCAGGGAAGTGTTTTTCAATTAGTGACTGCAACACTCCTCTGTTTATAGGAGAAAAAAAGTGACAATTAGTGGTTCAGTTTGCCAAATAGTTTATTATATAGAAAGTCTTACTGAATATATTTTTAAAATACATTTCCTAAAAAGTAAATACTGTATACTTTGTTCAGTTTTACAAAACAGTGATAATCCAGCTGAAATAACTTTAATATTGTAGGTCATCGCTAACTGAAATAAAGTTCAGGCCAAGCCAAATATGCAATTTTTACATTTTCTAGTAACTACATTAAAAAGTAAAAGAAAACTAGAGAAACGTTTTTTAATAATACATTTCAGGACATATTCTACTATTATATATCAATGTATCATTTCAAAATGCAATCAGTGAGATGTAAAACATATACTTTAAGTCTTTGAATGAAATCTCCTGTGTTTACATTCACAGCGTATCTCAATTTGGACTAGCCATTGACAGGCACCCGTGACTAGCTCCTACCATATTAAACAACATAGTGATAGGCACATAAGTACAAAAGACAACAGATTAGTAGGTGCATGTTTTGTTTTTAGAAGCAGTTTTGGATTATATCCACCTTAAAAGAACCACTTGAATATATCGCCTGAGGCAAAAGATAGGTGGGGCAAAGGTTACTTTGCTAATTTTACTACCACAGTTAACATGGCTAGGGTAGGCAAATAAACTGAGAAACGATGTCTAAAAACTTCTTTTTAAAACTCTTTTTGAATATCCCATGATTGCGTGCAATTTTTATACACAGATTACTAAACTAGGGCAAACTCTACTTATTGTTCGTGTGGATAATGGTAATTTCAAACACACAAAGCTGAAACTAAAACAGAAACTAATCCAAGCTGTCACACATTTCCAAGATCTACAAGACAAAAATCATACCCTTCCATTAGTTCAAATACTGGGCACAATATTGTCAAAATGCTTAACAACTGAGCATTCGTATGTTGTTTTCCAAAGGATATACTGTCATGGATCGCACAGAACTGCAAGAACTAAGATCAGAAAAACTTTAATGATGTTAAGGATGAATCAAAACTTTTGCCTCCAGGAAATGCGAACACTTAAAACTAATCTAAATAAAAACTTAAAACCAAAAACATTACTTGGCAGTTGAAACAAAATCATTCAATTCTCCTCCACCCTCCTCCAAGGCTTCTAATGTTCTAGCTTCTCCTGTTGACTGCAGACCAATTACGACACACTGGAGAGAAAAACAGAATTATAAATAATACCACGCATGTGGTTTCTTAAGATGTATTTTACATATTTAGTTAAGAAAAAGGATTTCAAACAAGAATGACCCATTATTGTACATACGTGCTCATTTATTTATTCTGTATATATCTGAGGCATGCTACTATGTGTAAAAAACTTAGCTAGGAAATAGGATTACAGCAGTGGACATAATTAAAGCCCCTGCCTCAGTTCTTTGGACTTCAAGTATATCTATATTTTGCTGAAAAGAAAAAACTGTATGGCAATAAATACCCACATGTCATCAGTAGTTATATCTATGAATGGCCAAATTATAGTGGTTTATTTCTTTACACTCTTTTCAGCTATCTAAATTCTTTAAAGAAATGTGTATTTTAAAGTCTGACTACATTAATACTTTTACAACTCTCAGAAAGAGCAGGCTTTCCAAGCAGAAAGCCTGAACACACAAGACTAGAAAACACAACCAAAGAATAAATCTATTAATGTGTTCTTCAACTTACTTTTCCATTCTTGATTTCTTCTCGAGCTAGTTGCACAACCCTTTTAACTTTGGATGCTATACACAAGTATTTGAAAAATCTCTGGTGAGCAGACCAGAACTGACCCCACATGGATTTCTTCATGCGTTGCTCAGCATCAATCAGATCTGCAGCTTGCTGAAATCGCTCTCTGGCAATGACCCACTGAAGACACACAATCAACATTTTAGATATTTCATCTGTAAGTGTGCATTATTTAAAAATCACTGATTCGGGGCACCTGGGTGCCTCATTCAGTTAAGCGTCCGACTCCTGATTTTGGCTCGGGTCATGATCTCACCGTTTTGGAGTTCGAGCCCCGCCTCAGGCTCTACGTGCACAGCATGGAGCCTGCTTGGGATTCTCTCTGTCTCCCTTTCTGCCTCCCCCCCACCCCACCCCCGCTCGTGTACTTTCTCTCTCTCTCAAAAATAAACATTTTTTAAAAATGACCGATTCAAGCAAAATAATGTCAGGTGCAAGACTACTTAACATTAATTTAATAAACCAACTTCAGTAGCTTGGGAAGCTCTAAACGAATGTTTTTCAGGATGTTCACAGTTGCCTCGAAACTCTTCTTAGCAACTACAGTCATTTTAGGGAATAGTTACACTGTAATTTTAAAACTATGCGACTTAAATAAATGGCTTTTTAAAAAGTTTATGCATTTAAGTGATCTCTACACTAAATGTGGCTCGAACTCATAACCCTGAAGATCAAGTCACATGCTCTTCGACTGAGCCAGCCAGACACCCCATTGTAAATAGCTTTTTTATGTTGTTTTACTTATTTATATTTACTTGAAAGAGAGAAAGTGCACGTGCACAAGTGGTGAAGACAGGCAGAGGGGGAGAGAAAGAATCTTAAGCAGGCTCCACACCCAGCATAGACCCTGATGCGGGGCTCGATCTCATGACCCTGGAATCATGACCTGAGCCGAAATCAAGAGTCAGACACTCAACCGACTGAACTACCCAGGCTCCCCAATAGCTTTTTTCTCCTAATAAATTACTTTAACAAAGAGAAAGCTTAGAAAATTAGGAAAGTAAGGATCTGGTGATTTATCTGTTGTTTTACAGCAAAATATACTCTTGTGGGCTGACAGACATTAAAAATACTAGGAATTAAGAAATAACTTCTCACCAGCTTGACTGCTTTGTTATACATTTTCACATAGCTCTGAGAAAGAAGAACTTCCTCAATTTTGAAGGTCACTCCAGTAAAGCTCAGCTGTCGAGCAATGTACATTCCTCTAAGTTTCATATCCATAGCAACTATTTCCATGGCACCAACACCTCTGAATAAAATTAAAACACACAGTAACTATCATTAAATATAGTAGGGCTTTAATATAAGTGGAAAAGGTTTTAGCAGTAACACCTCTTTTAAACTGCAACTGAGAACAAATAGTGTATACCGTAAACTACCTTACCTCCGTTCTACTGCTTGGATAAAATCACTGAATTCTCTAAATGGAGTTCCCTCACCCCATATTCCAAGACGGTTCATATAGGCCATGTTTCGTGGTTCAGAAGCACCTGAAAAATCCCAAAACAAAACATGTTATAGCTGAATAAATAACTCACACATGTATCTTTCAAATAAAATAACAACTCACCAGTGGCACTAGCATAAACAACTCTGGCCTTTGGCAATTTGTTCTGAAGCTCTAAAACTGCCAAGCCTGTCTTGGTTGGCTTCGAAGAACCAACAGGACATAAGTTTTTTGCTTTATGGCATTCGTCAAAGACTATCTGTACAGAGTGAATTAAGGAACATATCACAGTAGCAAGTATTTCTAATCTTTAAAGAAGCCTTAACTTTTATTTCCTTAAGGTCTTGGGGAACATCCCAAATTTCTGTGGTAGAGGAGTGGGCCAAGTTCAAGATAATCAGGAAGGGAGAGCTGCCACGGATAATAAGCCCCTGAGCATTAACTTTTTAAAATAATACCAACATACCCATCATACAGCTTTGTAAAACCTGTAACATTTTACCTTACTTGCCTCAGATTCTTTTTAAGATCACAAACATAAATGAAGCCCTCTACGTGCCCCTCTTTGACGTAACCCCTCCCTTTCAAGTCTCAGAGGCAACCTCTGATTTGGGTATTTCTATTAACCTGATATTTAATTCTTGATTAGAATGGAGGAAAGGATCCACCCTGGCAAGAAAGGTCCACCACACAATTTTGGCAAATTCTCTAAGTAGAAGTACAATTGGTAACTAACTTAATGAGCATTTTAAAAACTGGCATTCCTCATGCAGGACAGCAAAAGGTTTGCCATGGGTAAACAGGTTTGAACATCACTAAGTTCAGTTTTTTCCCCTTAGTCGTCTCAGGTGCTTTACTATATCAATATGCACCGTGAATCCCCAAAAAGAGGAATATAGCATTCATCACGTCCCACACCTCTTAACATTTCCCTAAACCAGGAGCTTACATACTGGCCTCCTATATGGCAGCTACAAAACAGAATCAACTTTCTGACCCCTTGGATGCTGAGCTATCCTAAAAGCTCTCATCCCAGCAACTGCAGTTAACCTAAGGATGTAGTTTTCCACAGGTTTATTCTCACATGCACTTTTGTGTCATTAAAAAAACATAAAAACATTTATTGAAAAGGATACCACTCCATCAAAGTCATCACCACACCAATGCAGAAGTTGTTTTAATCTAGTTTTGTATTTACCACCAGACTGACTTTCACCAATAAGGGAAGAATAGGTAGCAAAAATAACACCCTTTTTCACGCTCCCGTTATGTTTGGAAGAAATTTTTCCATATTTAAACTAAAAAAGAAAAAAGAAGTTATAAATATACTTTTTTCTCTGAAACATTTATCTTACCTAAGCTTCTATAGCAGGAAACTGGTGAGTCTATCATGGGTTTTAGGGAAGTCAAAGGACCCCTAAGACCATACACAAAATTTCTTCTACATACGTATACACACACACGTACCATTGTATGTATGTACGTACACACACACATAACTTCATGACATAAGGATCCAGTTTTCATCAAAGTCTCAAAAATCTTTTTTTTTTTTTGAGAGAGTGCTGGCAGGGGAGGGGCAGAGGGAGAGGAAAAGACTCTCCTAAGCAGGCTCCACACCCAGCAGGGAGCCACCCAGGCCCTCCTCAAAAAACTTCTATCAACAACAACAACAAAAGATTACAGGGGCTCCTGGGTGGCTAAGTCAGTTAAACATCCTACTCTGGATTTCAATTCATGTCATGATTTCGCCACCATGGGATCAAGCCCCGCATGGGGCTCTGTGCTGGATGTAGAGCCTGCCTAAGATTCTCTCCTCTCTCCCTGTCCCTCCCCTACTCCCTCTCTCAAAAACAAAACAAAAAGCCGAAAGCATTAGTTATTATAAACCAAGCTCCCCTCTAAGAAAGAAGTCACGATATTCATTTTACAAATATTTACTGTGCACTTGCTATATGCCAAGTCACTGTCAGTCCTGTGTCATATATAACGAGCTATGCCAGTCAGTTTTTTAGTTTGAGCTGTCGGTTATCAATTCAAGAACCAGCACCACCAATCCACTCAGTCATACCCCCCCTCGAAAAGCCGATGATGAGCAAGGCAACACTGAACCAACTTAGGGCCACATGGAATGCTTGTCCTTACTTATTTTCAAAAGGCTAACGGGGAGGCACCTGCAGGAACCAGGTCTGTCTATTCCACCCTGGTAACTCCAGCAGTTGGTGCACAGGAGGAGGTCAGGAAGGGTTTGCTAAATGAACATGAAGATTCTTATCACATTATACTGCTTTAGATACCTACCCACATTTTCTTCCACTTGACAGTATTGTTCTTACATAAACGCAGGTACAGATACACAAATCTACCAGACAAATCTCCAAATCAGTCTCCAAAAGTCAACAATTCCCTATGTGCTGTGATGGGCACACTACCTGTCCACACAGCTTTACTACAGTGCACCCTTCTACACACAGTTGTGAGCTTCAGCATATAAAGTCACCTCAGAAACAAAGACCAACACTGAAGACTGAGAATAAACTCCGTTAACGACAGAGACAAGGCCTATTTTGTTTGTCACCACCCAACCGTACCTGGCACAGTAGCTGACATACAGTAATCCACAACCCAATGAGAATGGCTAGCCCTCAACTAATGCTTTCTGTAAAATAACTCACTTGAACTTTGTAACTCTACAAAGTAGAACCTGTTATTATTCCAATCTCACAGATGAATCAATATTTACTGAATGACTGAATAGAAAACTTTCATACCTTATTTAATGAATGAACCAAAATGTTTTTTGCTCCAATATCCCTCAAATCTCTTTCAGCATCATACTTCAAGTCATTTGAAACACTGAACCTGCCACATAAAAAAGAAAAGAAAAAAAAAAAAACACACACACACACAAATTAAATGCAAATTCCATCAATCTAGCAGTACTCAGGATAAATAAAACCAGGCCTCGACACTTAAAAAATACACCTACTCAGTAATAAAACCCATCTCACATGCGTAAGTAATTATTCACAAAAGAAAGCTTACACAGTCTTTGGCACTTACTTACCATAATGCTCTTTTTCTACTCAACAAATAATTTTCATAGATGATTCCTGCTATCGTCCTTCCTTTTCCTACACCAGCACCATCACCTATTAAGAAGCCAGCACGATCTCCATTAGGTAGGAATGTTTCATGTTGCTAAAAAAGAGAAAGTTGATAATTAATCTACTCCTTCAAATACCTCAGCCATCAGTCTTTTAAACAGGAAAATATTAATGTGATGTATGCGTATACAAATGACATACACTTTGGCTTAGTATGAATACTTTCTTTATATTTACTAAGTATTGTTTCTTGCCACACTCACATGCACCAGGTAACTGAAGTCAACAAACTGGTGAGCATTCTCCCATACCTGTTTCAATGCTTGCAGAGTCAAATACAAACTTTTAATCACACATAAACATGGGGGATGGTTAGCTGTTTGGCCATTACTTATTTTACAGAAATGGAGTACGACAGAAACCCTCTCAAGACAACTAGCATAACTCTAATTCATGGTTTTAAAAGACAGTACCATACCCATACACTAATACCACAGTTTATTCAAACACCCACAAGGGTATGGGCTTTTAAGTCTTTTCCAGCATTCTACCACCAAAGTTAAAAAAGCTGCAACAAATAGTCATCCACCAAACACAAAAACAAAGTCAACCACCCATCTATCCATCTCCTTAATATATATGTTCTCAATCTAATAGTTCTGTCGAATAGACTTCCAATAATACACTTGTTAGGTCAAAGGACATATGTTATTTTTTCAAGCAAGCTCTGCGCCCAACGTGGGGCTTGAACTCGTGACCCTGAGATCAAGAGTTGCATGACTCCAAGATCAAAAGTTGCATGACTGAGCCAGCCAGGCGCCTTAAGATATATGTATTTTTAATTTTAATACACATTCCAAAAAGGCTGTAACATTTGTCATTTCTAGCAGAAACACGCACCTCCTGAATCCATGCTACCTCTTTAATTATCAGACACGTGAAACTTCTATAAAAATCACATTCACAAGTTTTTCATGCAAGGAAAATGTAACCTTTGCATTAAAACAACTGTATTATATGGACCAGGATTCAAAGATAAATATTGTATGTAGCTACGAAATATTATTGCTTACCTGCGCTGCATAAGTAATTGCCTCAAGCTGTAACGCTGATAACCAGCCATTATCAATGGTTTCTTCAGAAATGGATGTTTTGTACCAAACATCAGGAGGAGTAACACTGGATAAAGAACTAGTTTCCACTACAGCATCTGGATGACGTAGGCCAATTTTTACTGAACGAAAAATTTAAAAAACTTCATTTTAATTTTTCTAGGTAATAACACTTCCAGTTTTATTATATGATATTGCCATATTTTTCCTATCATAGAAAAAGTAAAAGTAAATAAGTAACTATACACTTCAGGATTCTATAAAGGCATTGATGGGTGGTAAATTACTATTTAAATTTGACTAAAAGGACCTATTTATCAAATACTCATGCTTTAAATAAAGACCCGCTGATTAAAAAAGTCTAGAAAAATATGGACTTGGTTCATACCACCAGGTTCTCCAACAGCAACAAACACAATCCTAGATTTGGGAATTTATTTGAATGAATCATTCCCTTGCATCAGTGAAACAAAAGTTTGGAATGTAATTTTATTTTGAAAGGGATTTTAATGGAAATCTTGGCCATAAAATTAAACAGCAACTAATTCCCCAAAATGCATTATGTGAATAGCTTTAAACAGAGGTCAGCAAACCTTTTCTATATATAGTCAGACAATAAATATTTCCAGCTTTGCAGAGTATCTGGTGTTACTGAACATCGGTATGGTAGCAATGTAAAAGCAGCCATAGCCAATAAATAAACTCACGCGCATGGTTATGTTCCAATAAAACTTTATAAAAACAAGCAAAAGTCCAAATTTAGTTTGCTGACTTTGGTTTCAAGGGCCATGGATAAACTCTCAATCCTTTTATGAACTATTATGGGTGGGAGGGGGAAACTACCCATTTCGGATACCACAACCTGAAGTTCGTAGTTTAAAAACGTATACAGGTATGTAAGTAGATGTGTATGTATTATTTTTAAGTAGCTTCCACATCCACGTGGGGCTTGAACTTACAACTCTGAAATCAAAAGCTACATGTTCTACCAGCTGAGCAAGCCAAGTGCTCTTTAAAGTTCGTCAAAAAACAATTATTTTTACTGTATGTTCACTAACTTGGATTTAAATTAAAAAATAAAATTTAATTAAAAAAATTGTTTTTCTTTTACTTCTAAAGTTCATTTTAGGGGCACCTGGGTGACTCAGTCAATTAGGTGTCTGACTCTTGGGTTTCAGCTCAGGTTTCAGTTCTCACAGTTTATGACATTAAGTCCCGAGTCGGGTTCTGTACTAACACCATGGACCTGCTTGGGGGTTCCCTCTCTCCCTGTCCTTCCCTGGCTCGCTCTCTCAAAATACATAAACTTAAATAAATAAATAGAGACACCTGGGTGGCTCAGTAGGTTGAGCGTCCAATGTCGGCTCAGGTCATGATTTCATGGTTCATGGGTTCAAGGCCCCACACATCCAGCACTCTGCTGTCAGTGTGCAGCCCGCTTTGGATTCTCTATTCCTCTCTCTTTCTGCACCTTCTCCTCTCCCACTCACATGCATGCACGCTCTCTCTCAAAAATAAACATTAAAAATAAATAATTTCTTTTTAAATGGCCAGAAAATTATGGGAGCTTGAAGTCCATACACAGTTGGTAAACAGATTTTTTAGTTCAAGTGGTAATATTAGTGGCTTTTTATAGAAACTCAGAGTACATAAAAGATTCTAGCCATGTGTATGTTTTTTCCATCTTATCACCACCATATAACGAGAGTGAACATTTGTTTTTTTTTGAGAGGGAGGGAGTACATGCTCGAGGCAGGAGGGAGGTGGGGAGAGGGAGAATCTCAAGCAAGCTCCATGCCGAACTGAAGCCCCACTGGGCTCAAATGCACAATCATGAGATCGTGACCTGAGTGAGCCTAAATCAAGAGTCAGGCATTTAACCAACTGAGCCACCCAAAGTGAACATTTTTCTACTAAAGTTAAAAACTATTAATTTTCAGTTTGACATAGTATAGTGGTCACTAAAAAAATAAAACATGGTTGTTACGGCAAAAAGGGAGAAATGTTAATGTACACTACTGAAATAAATAGCACATTATATTTTTAAGATTCCCGTGCTTTTGTTTGCATAAAGTATATAAAGCTAAGGTACAGACTTACGCCTCTATAATTCACTATGACTTTATACCTGCTGCTGACATGAGCAAAATTAACTTGAAACAAAATAAAGCCCAAGCTTTTTTACTCTTAGCTTTAAAGGACTTCAACCCAAAACAGTTTTAACTTTCTGTAGGAAAAAATACACCAGTAAAATTTTCACCTAGATATTTTAAAACCTGTAATAGTTTAAAACAGATTATAAGGCTCACACTTGTCAAATTCCAAGGTACCCAATATTGATAGATCCTAATAGGTAATAACATGTGTGGGAAAGTTACTTAAGTTCAAGAGGAACCCAAAAGTCTTTCATCATTTTGACAAATCCCAAAGACATACATTTTATTGGCATATATTCTGCGTAGGTTTCTGCATGACCCATCTCTTCTTCATCTTCCTCCTCTGGTTCATCTTCCTCTTTCACAACAGGGACCTTCTGTAACATAGAGCATGATCAGAGACTGGAGGTCCAGCCAACACACAGGAAAACTCCTCTGTAGGAATACTAGCAATCTTCAGTCTTGGAAACATGACATTCCTCTTCTATGTTCCCTCAAAGCTGGATCATACTTTGGTTCTTCCGTGCTTCTCTGATGAGCAAAGATAATCCATGCCCTACTCTCAGCTCTGACACACTGCTGGGTCACCTCAGGGCTCCACCTTCCTTCCAGTCACTACCTGTCAAACTACTTTCCCCTTTGCCTGCCACCCTCCCCGATGCCCAGAACTCTTTCTAACCTCAGTCCTTGTCAGTTCCAGGAAGAGAAGGACCAAAAGGCTTAGGAAGGAAGGTGGATGAGCCCCAGCAGCTCATCCTACAACATCAATGGCAGAAACCACTGAAGCCACACACCCACCCTCATTTTAGTGAACCTTCACGTCACCTGTCTTCTCTCCCTCGGACATTGAAACTAAAACCCCAGAAAACTCTGGATTTAAAGGTTCTTCTGAAGGACGGAGCATTTACTTCAGACATCTGTGTCTCCACAAACACAACAATCACATATAAGAAAGCCATATCACTTACTCTCTAATCCTTGGCACACGTGAAAATGAAATGGGGAGCTATTAGTTAAGTACACCAGGAAAACTAGAATAAAGCCAGACTGTCCTAGACAACTTGTGCGAATGGTTACCAATCACATGTTCCTTTTTTTCTTCACAGAATCTTAAAGGAGGAGCGGTAGGGAGAAATAGGGGAATAGAAAGCCCCTGAACAAGCCTCTTTTCACTACAAGTAAACCAACACCAAAGATATTTATTAATGTGCTTGTTCAAGAAAGACTATAGAGAAAAATCTGTGAAATCCAGTATATCCAGAAAAGGAGGGGGAAAAAAAAAGAGAGAGAGAGAAGCCAGTCAGGGCCTACAGGCAACGCCAAGGATAACAAAACTTTGAAAGGTAAGGGCAGGCTCTTCGATTTCTTTTTATTTTGTCTGGAGTTATGATGGCAAACAGATGCTCAATAAAAGTGGGAAGGAAGAGGGAGATGGTAGATAAACATCCAATCAACATCAATCCATGGAATCCTTAGGAAAAAAATCCAAAAAAGTTCCGAATGTTCTTAGAAAGTATGCCAAAATAAAACTCAATTTGAGAAACCGGAGACAAAGTGGGGCTGGCAAGGAAACACATACAAATCCTCATTCTGCTGTTAATTTGTGTGGCCTTGCTTAAATCACTTAAATTCTGTGTCTTCCCCATCCCACCTTCAGCCCTTTCCCCATGTTATCAAATAAGACTAGGGGACCTGGGGAGCTCAGTGGGTTGGGCTTCCGACTTCAGGTCATGATCTCCCAGTTCATGAGTTCAAGCCCCATATCGGGCTCTCTGCTGTCAGTGCAGAGCCCACTTCAGATCCTGTCCTCCTCTCTCAGCTCCTCCCCCACTCATGCTCTCTCTCTCAAAAATAAATAAAACACAAAACATTGAAAAAAAAAAAATGCATACTATGC